CCCCTGACCCACTGCTCCTGATGCAGCTGCAGAGCACAGTGCCTCCTTCCCTCAGCCTGCCCCAGAGCATCTCAGTGATAAATGCTGTCAGGGACAGCAGATTGCCCTGTCACATCGTGCCCTCTGGCCCTGCTCTCTCATTCACTGTCACTGTGAGCTCCAGACCCCGCTGTGTTTTCCCTGGCAGGGACTCACCCGTGTTCCTGCTCCTCCCAGGGGCTTTGGGCTGTCCTGGGCACAGCTTGGCCATCTCCAGGTTCTCTTTCACCCCAGAACTGGCATGGTCTGTCCCTGCAATATGGGATTTCTGAGCACAAACCACACAAGAGCCTTCCTGTGAGATGTGAAACCTCCTCAGCAGCAATCCTGCATTCGTGCCTGCTGTAGCTTTTATGATTCTCTTTTTTTTTTTTTGCATCCATCCCTCTCCATTCCCCGGGAGGTGATGCAGGCACCAGCAGAAGGGCTGACAGCCCTTGGCCCCGGGGGTGCCTCAGTGTGTGCTGTTTGACAGCACTCAGACAGCTCAACAGCAAATAGATCCATTTATTGTCAAAAATCAATCCTCACAGGAACTCCCTGGGAAGGCAAAACTTGTATTGCACTAATTATCTTCTCTAAAGTGTCTCTTTTCGCTTCACAACAGTTTAGGGAAGGAAGTGAGGGAATGGTAATAAAAGAGGAACAAGCTGAGGCACTGTTCAGTTATCCCCATCTGCTCTGGGCTGAGTTTGATCCACTCTGGCTGTGAGAGGAGAATGTGGACCTGGCCTGTCTTCTCCAGGGGCAAACAGCACCCAGAGGCATTTCAAAAATCACATAACCAGCTCTAGCCAAATTCTGTATTAAACATGTATTTACACTTTTGGTTGGGTTTTTTTGGTTAATAACTTCTGTGATGTAGCAGCTCCATCAGAAATCATTGTCAGCAGCTTCTCCAGAGAGATCCCACACCAAATCAGGGTCAGATGCCCCCTCATCTCAGTCTGGTGACCCTTGGTGAGCAGCTGCTTTAGGCTCAGATGGGCTGCTGGGCACTGTTCCTGTTTAATTTGAATATTGCCTCCAAGCTGAGAGGAAATCACCCATTCCCACCAGGCTGGAACATCCCTTTTCCTCACCATCACTTTTGGCACACTGCACTCACATTCTCTGTTTCTCAGTCTGGGAAGGAGGTGTTACTCAGATATTTTGTGAAGCGAGTTAGAATTTCCTGTTGGTAGCTGTGCCTGTGCCAGTCAGTGACTAATGCTCCAATGACATGAATTTTGGGGCTGCAGTTTGTACTCAGAGGCTGAGGAAGTCAGAGGAAATGTCAGAGAGAGATGTGAGTGTCCCGTGGTTAAGCCTGGCTGAGTTTTGAGCAGCCTGGGCCAAAGGTGTTTGGGATCAGAGACCTTGGGATGCTGAGTCTCAAACAGCTCCTGCCTCCTGCCCAGAGGGAAAGAATTGGGACCCCCATTTTTGACAGTCCCTTCTAATCACGTGCCAGCAGCACCCCAAGGCTTCAGCCAGCTAGATCCCAATCAAACAGATATTTATAAATTCAGAATACTGCACTGCAGCAAGCCACGCTGGCATAAATTCCCATCTGTCATCCCCTAATCATCTCCCAGCACAGTGATCAATCTCTTTCAAATTCAAATGATCTTAACCACTTGGTGTCTAGAAAATGCACTGCAAGAAATGGGCAGTGTGAGAGATGGACAGTGTGAGAGATGGGCAGTGTGAGAGATGGGCAGTGTGAGAGATGGGCAGTGTTAGAAATGGGCAGTGTTAGAAATGGGCAGTGTGAGAGATGGGCAGTGTGAGAGATGGGCAGTGTTAGAGATGGGCAGTGTTAGAAATGGGCAGTGTTAGAAATGGGCAGTGTGAGAGATGGGCAGAAGGTTGGGGAGCTCAGCCTGGGCACAGCAATCCCTGCAGGAGCTGCTCTGGCAGCCAGGACAAGCAGGACAGTGCCCTCATCCCCTGGGATGGAGCACCCTGAGCTCCAGCTGTGCCATGGGGATGGGGCAGGGGCAGGGATTAAAGAGAGGGCACCCATGGGTCAGGATTTAAACAAGCACACCCATGGGTCAGGTGCAGGATTTAAACAGGGACACCCATGGCTCAGGTGTAGGATTTAAGCAGGGACACCCATGGGTCAGTGCAGTATTTAACAGGCACACCCATGGGTCAGGGATTAAAGAGTGGCACCCATGGGTCCCAGCAGTGGAACAGAGCCAGCCTGGCTGCCAGAGCAGCGGGTGAGAGCCGTGGGCATGGCTCCAGCAGTTCCTGGACAGTGCCTCACTCTCTGCAGCTCCAGGCTCAGCAGCACTGCACAGCACAGGCATTCCTGAGCAAGGAACAGAAAAATGGCACAGCACTTGTGCCTCTGTCACCTCTTGTCTGCTCCGAGCTGAAATCAATGCAGGTGCATTCACTTTAATGGAGGGCAGAATTGGGAGAATTCCCCTGAAGGCAATTTGAGACAATACCATTGCAAAGATCGTGCTTCTTTTTTTTCTTTTTGACTATAGGGAAAGAGTCAGCTGTGTCATGTTTGGTTTAGTTTTTTTATTTTTTCCAAGATACAAAATGAATACATTCAGTTAACACAGAAATAGGTGAGGGCTGTTAGTCAAGATCATTTCCTCTGCTGCAGTTCATTTCCCTGGGGGCAGAAATCAGCTCTCAGAGAGCAGGCTTTGAAGGCATTCTGGAGGGAGAAAGTTTTTTCTGTGCCAAGTAAAAACGTTTTTAAAAAAAACAAGCATTTTCAGTTGTAGGACATGTGTCCTAGGCCGTGGTTACCTTTATGTCAACAACTCCCTTTTTTCTCTGGTTTAAAGGAATCTTTACAATTATTGTTGATTTGTTTTGGGAAATCCATCAGAGCTGGTTTGAAGAATCCATCAGAAATGTTTGAAGCACTGAATGCACAGAAGAGGTGATTTACAGAGGACTTAGGCAGGAATCAACTACAAACATTTGGCAGTCACTTGTACAGTAAACCACATCTCTGCTCACTGAGAGCGGGGCCACACGCTCCTGTCACTGCAGCAGCTCCTGTCACTGTCACTGGTGCAGCTCCTGTCATTGTCACTGCAGCACACTCCTGTCACTGTCCCTGCAGCAGCTTCTGTCTCTGAGGGACCTGCCTGGGGCTTTCCTCTTGTCTCCTCGCACTTTGGTTAAGGTGCTCGTGTTGCCAAGTGCTTGAACAACTCCAGCAATACTCAGAAATGCTCAGAAATGCTAACATTGCCTGTTAACAGCCTGACTCTGTGTTTCTTTCTCCACAGCAAACATCCTGACAGTCATCATCCTCTCCCAGCTCGTGGCTCGCAGGCAGAAGTCCTCCTATAATTACCTTCTAGCTCTGGCTGCTGCTGACATCCTGGTCCTCTTCTTCATCGTCTTTGTCGACTTCCTCATGGAAGACTTCATCTTAAACAAACAGATGCCTCAGGTTCTGGACAAAATCATCGAGGTGCTGGAGTTTTGGTCGATCCACACGTCGATCTGGATCACGGTGCCGCTGACCATCGACAGGTACATCGCCGTGTGTCACCCGCTGCGGTACCACAGCGTGTCCTACCCCGCCCGCACCCGCAAGGTCATCGGCAGCGTCTACATCACCTGCCTGCTGACCAGCATCCCCTACTACTGGTGGCCCAACATCTGGATCGAGGACTACACCAGCACATCCGTGCACCACGTGCTCGTCTGGGTGCACTGCTTCACCGTGTACCTGGTGCCCTGCTCCATCTTCTTCATCCTCAACTCCATCATCGTGCACAAGCTGCGCCACAAGAGCAATTTCCGCCTGCGGGGCTACTCCACGGGGAAAACCACGGCCATCCTCTTCACCATAACGTCCATCTTCGCCATCCTGTGGGCGCCCAGGATCATCATGATCCTGTACCACCTGTACGTGTCGCCCATCGCCAACAGCTGGCTGGTGCACATCGTGTCGGACATCGCCAACATGCTGGCGCTGCTCAACACCGCCATCAACTTCTTCCTCTACTGCTTCATCAGCAAAAGGTTCCGCACAATGGCAGCTGCCACCCTCAAAGCCTTCTTTAAGTGTCAGAAGCAGCCCGTGCAATTCTATACAAACCACAACTTTTCCATAACGAGCAGCCCTTGGATCTCCCCGGCCAACTCGCACTGCATCAAAATGCTCGTTTACCAGTACGATAAAAATGGAAAGCCTATAAAGATATCGCCGTGAAAAGGGCCTGCTCTGAGTTTCTGGGTGCGAGTTCTTTCCAAGTGGTTACATCTTCAGGATGTAATTTTCTGAAATGGCCGTTTTGAGGAAAGGTTGTTTGGTTTCATTTCCCTGGGTGGGCCAGGGGCAGATCGGACTGTCAGGAGGAAACAGGAGTGCTTGATTTCAGGAGCAGAAATGGGAAGGTGCACGCCTCCATCTCTCATACAGCATTTTGAATATGCTTCAGAGTTCAAGTCTCAGTGTTCAGTCACACTCAGACATTCTGCATCCCAACACCAGTGCAATCCAAAGCCATCGAGGGGCGAAGCCACAGCGGTGTTTAATCACAGCCTTTTAAAACACAGCAACAAAACCTTCCCTGACCATCAGCTATCAACAGAGTTAAGGGATGATTTTGTGCACTGTGGAAGGTGCCATTTCTGGAACGAGCACTTGCCAAAAATGATGTGCTGATTCTGGCATGGATGGCACCACCCAGCTCTGCTGTCAGGACCTCCTGGCACGGAGGTGCCAAGCCTGGCTTAGGCTGGTTTGAGCAAGGCTTAAGGACCATGCAGTGCCTGCTGCAGCCTTGGCATGGGCAGCAATCCTGCAGGCTGCCAATATTCTGTTTTTAGTTGTTATCTAATAATGTGACTGAGACAGGGGAGCTGCAGGGAGGGATGCTTCTAGAGCCGAGAACAAAAGCAGCATCTTTTCCCAACTATTTCAGTCATGGTATTTAAGGAAATGTGAAACCAAGTCCTGCCTGGTGCAGAGCTCACACCAAAGCTGGTCCTGTAAGCAGAGTCATCAGAGCCTTCAAGGTCCTTCTTAATCAATAGAAATTCTCAGCTATCCCCCATTTTCAGGCCTTTAGGGATTAACATATAAAAACCTTACTTAAGATTTTCTCCTGATGGATGAGGCCATCCTATTGCAGATTTGCCATTTAATTGTTAAAAACATTTTGAGAGAAATTCATTAAACATCAAACAGCAGTAAAAACATAAAAACCTTAGTTTAGGCTGATCTAAGTATTTCACTTATTTGAACTAGGTGAGCTTCTCTTCCTTAACATTCAGAACCAGCATCCCATCAATGCTCAAAGGAGGGGTCCCATTTCAGTGTCCCCAGGGGATGAGGAGCTGCTGTTTGTCCTTCTGACCTGAAAGCGTCACCCTTGCAATAATAAAGCGTAAAACAGAGGCTCAGCCTTGCTGGATTTGTCATGGCAAGGTTGAAATGATTGTTCCCTTGATAGGGTCTCACAGAAATTCAGTTTTGTGGCCATCCCTCCTGCCCTTCTCTAAAAATCCTCCCTCAGTGTTTGTCAGCCGACAGTAACCAAAGTTACCTTATGGAAAAGGTACTGTATGTTTCATTTTGGGAAAACACTGCATTTTTAACTTATTTTTATTCTGCGTTTGTCATCAGGAATGCTTTTCTGAGTTAAATGTGAATGAGTCTGAAGTGCAATATCTATATAGATAAGTGGTTCATTTTTGAGAATGTATCTATTGAAAAAATATCTATTTATACAAGAAGTTCACTATTCTACTTAATATAATAGTAACTTTAAAGAAAATAGTGAATGTTTAGGGCTTTTATTTCTTTTTTAAAATTCAATTCAGTGCATGGCATATACTGCCATTCACATGCTGTGATTAATTTTTGTAACATAATGTTTATCCTGCAAACTATAAGTGTTATCTGATTTTTTCTGTCCTGATAATGTATTTTTGTAAATTATTATATTTAAAACCGAAAATCTTTGAGTGAGTGGTTTGTTTTTTTTTCCCCTATGAAAAACAACTCATTAGATTCTCGCACCTTATTTGGAGAAAGTTTCTTTCCACATCATTTTGGAAATGCCAAGGTGTGATTTTCATGTCCAGTGGATTGGTCATTTCACTCCTGATAATTTAGGGCTTTAAAAGCTCCTCCCAAAGCCCTTTGGAGTCAAAGGGAAAGTTCTGCTGGGTTTTGTGGTTGGTTTTCCCAGTCCCCATCATTTCAGGAGCGCTTTGGATCAAACTCTATTTTTTATCAGACATTCAAAGCCTTCTCAGAGTCCAGTTTGGATAATAAAGCCTTGACTTTTTAGTCTGCCATATGGGAGCTGCTGTTGATAATATTTGCCTTATTTTTGGTTGTGTGAAGCATCTTGCAATGACTGTTGCTAACTGGCCAATGTCTTGCTGTATTATTCATACCTCCTAATTTTCCAATAGTGAAAATTTAACCAAGCACATTTAGTGTCATTATTTATCCTGGAGACAAAACCATCTTTGTTGTGGAGATGGTCTTTTGTACTCTAATTTATATTTCAAATATCTACAATTAGAAAAAAAAAATAAGCTGTGAATGGAGACTTTTAGAACTACTTATAGGTGTGTGTCCCTGAAGACCACAGCTAGGAACAAAATACTTTTTAGATGAGTTGCTGGTATATAAAATCATGGGACCTATCAACTATTTAAATTGTGAATATTGATATTTTCATAAGTAGACAATATATTGTGTTGGACAAACTTGTTTGTATTATAATAAATTATGAGATGGTGCATAACTTACTACTGTGTTTGGAGCTATTGTTTGATTTATGGATTCTTATTATATGGACTCTTATTCACCAGGCAGAAGGGCTAACAGTTCATCTACAAAGATGAATTTATGCTCAAAAGCCTTTCAGTCAGTCACTGAGAGAAAAGAGTTAATCACTGTAAAACGGGCAGTGATAATTGCATTTCCTGGAGGAGGTGTCTGGCAGGAGGGCTCCGTGTGCTCCATGGGGTACGTGACCATGGCACTGTCAGTTTGACACAATCAATCAATCTGCTCATTAATCTTACAAATTAAAAACCCATAAATCTCTGTTAAACCCACTGCCATTGATTAGGAATTACATTACCACAATACACAGAAGCCTTTTAATTTTGTTTTTCCTCCAAAATGAATAAACAGGTCTGCTCAGTTTATCTTCTCCTATGCTGGAGTGATAAAGGGCAAAGCCATCTCATGGCTATGCATCGTTTTGGAACAAAATCATACCTGAGAAGCTTGGGAAAGGGGGAATGAGGAAGAAAAATCAGTTTTCAGGGACATAATTTAGCACAACTTCTTATTATTACTCCTCGGGAGTGTCGAACACCGAGGCAGAATTTGTCAAACCCTAAATCTTGTAAATTTGGTTGACATACCCTGTGAATTATCCAGCAGGTCTCCTCTTGAAAAGGATAAGGATGTTGTGTTGGATTTTTAGCTGCTTGCCTATTCCTTTTCTGCTGCTCCAAGCCATTGGAAATAGCCCAGTTTGATCAGTTATCTGATAAATCGACCTTCCAAGGTAACACATAATTACTTCTCATTACAGAAATTACTTCAATATTTCATAAATGACCAGGAAATCCACTGCCTTCCTCTGAATTTTGACATCTGGTGCTGCTGTAAAATGTAAAAGCAGATGTGAACTTCAGAAGAGTTGGAGACAGCTCCATGAGAGTCAGGGATGGAGGTTCTGATAGCTGAACACAGAAATGTCCTGCTGGAGCAGCCTGAGCCCATCTCCACCACAAACCCTGCAGTTCTGCTGGGATCAGCTCAACACTGCACCTTGTTCCAGTGTTTGGGAAGCAAATAAGGCCTTGGTGATAATGATTTATAAAACTGGGACCTGCTGTTCAGATTTAGCCATCTGTCAGTTGTGCTGTTGAGGAATGGATGTAAAAGGAGATTTCTGAGAGTGAGGACTCCCAGTGTGAGTTGTGGAGGTGTTTGTGACAACAGCCAGGAGAAAAAGCACCCATGGGTGCCCTCCCAAACAAGAACAAAGTCCCAGCTGCACCCCAGCAGCTCCAGCAGGAAACAGAAAAGGCTCAAGGACTGAAACTTGTCCAACTCTTCACCTTCTTCACTCCCCTTTTCTCACAGTGTAACTGCCCATTGCATCAAACAGGGGAAAGAAACTGCGAGCTGTGAGAGTTTGGATGCAAGCACCTAGTGGAAGGTAATTAAATATAGCATATGTTCTCTTTTAGTACTTGTTTACAGCTGAAAGATCAAATGGTCTGCTCAGACTTTGATCTTGATGCTTCTCCTTGAACAAACACACAGACAAGTTCAGCGGACCCCAGTCACAACTTTTTAGGGATGGTGTGGATTGGATGCAGCTCCCTCGGCAGAGCTGCACACCTTGGGCTGGGGAAATGAAGAGTTTTACAGTCTGGAAGGGGAATATAGCCAGGTAAATGGAAATGAAGAGTTTTACAGACTGGAAGGGGACAAGAGCTGCCAGGTAAACAGAAATGAAGGATTTTACAGTCTGGAAGAACAGAGCTGCCAGGTAAATGGAAATGAAGAGTTTTACAGTCTGTAAGAACAGAGCTGCCAAGTGAACAGAAATGAAGAGTTTTTACAGTCTGTAAGAACATAGATGTCAGGTAAATGGAAATGAAGAGTTTTTACAGTCTGCTGCCAGGTAAATGGAAAAGGTGTGGAAGCTCAGGGTCCACACCCCAAAAGCACAGCTTAGGAACACAATTTGGAGAAGCAGCCTCTCCGTGTCCCACCCAAAGCCCAGCGCTGCTCTCCTGCTCCGTGCTGCTCCTGCTCTCTAAGCCTGACTTATGCTGATGTTGTTCTGGAGTTGATTTTGTCTCTCCAAATCCATATTTCACTGCTCTCAGACCACCCAGTTGTCCTCCCCAGAGCTAAAGCCATGAGAAGTGCCCAGTTTAGCAGGRTTTCAGTGGGGCCAGCAGAGCAGATCCTCCTGCAGGGTCATGGATGGATCTTTATGGATTTCAGTGGAGCTGCAGTGATCCCAGCTCACCATTCAGACAGCACCTGTACCCAGCAGGAGCTACAGAAGGTTTTATTCCTTTTCACATCATAAAGCAGCCTGGTCACATCTGCCATGGGCAGAGCAGCAGCTCCTGTGAGTCGTGCACAGCCCACACAGCAGCAAATCTGCCCTAAATCTGCAGAACAGAGCAGCTCCAGAGCTGCACTCACAA